AAGAATTTATTCAATAAAAAAAGGTACAATTTTTAATCATTGTCGTCGGACAGTAAGGATTCTGGCACAACAAAACATTTAGGCATGGAAATGTTGGGAGTTGAGCACTTTTCTTTCCAACGGTCATTATACTCGTCATAGACTGATACACATGCATTCGATAATATTGAGAGCTCCCAAATAGTCCATAGTTTATTGTCCAGCGATACTAAAGTTTTATAGAAACCTTTCAAAGAGCAAAGCTGCGAAATGTTTTTAAAAATATTTAGTTTTATACCAAGCGGTTGGCTAAAATCAACTTAATATACCTGAGACCACATGTTTCGCTGAGGATCGTAACGTTCAAAACTTTTACCGCGTGCAACATAAATGTGACCGTTATGTACAGCTACCTGTAATATAAAAAGTAGCAATAAATATTGTATGTAATTTTAATGGGGTAAATCAGTAACTATTTTTAGTTAGACAATTTTTTGATCACTCCTTTTGAAGCGGAGTTACTTTTGCTTCTAGCGAAGGCTTACAACGGTGAATTCAAGCGGAATCAGTTATTGCAGCGGCAGTATGTAATTCACAAGAAAATTTGAAAACGCTAGACCAGATATGATTTCGACTTTATTCCACATACTTAAATACATCTGCAGTAAAAAAAACCCAAGAAGTCGAAATGCTTTGGGTATAGCATTAGCCTCTGAAACATGGTTTTAGCTCTTACAAATTTCAAAACTTAAGTAAATTTGTTATATGCTCTTCTTTGACTCTTTGCCATTCTTCCAAATTTAGGCATGGTGAACATCCTCCCAATATTAACAATTATTTTGAATCTAACTTACACCAGGTTGCTGGTAATAATTTATCATATCCGCACAAGAAGTCCAAGTATTCGAATCCGGGTTGTAGCATTCGACAGATTTTAAGCACCCTTTATTATATGTACCGCTCACTACGTAAATTTTACCATTCAAAGTCACTGCACCGGCTAGGTATCGTCCAACATTCAAACTTTTCACGAACTCCCAACCACCGGATGTCGTATATCTGGAAATAAACAATAAAAAAAAAATGAGTGCAACTATCTAAATTGAAATGTAAAGTATTGT